CTGCTCAAACGGTCCTTTGTTCCCGGCGGGGACACAAAGGTCTCCAGTCCGGCGGGCCGGGGCCAGCGGCAGGGCTGGAGGGGCACGGCAGCGTGGGGGGCCGTGGCACCTGCCCCAGAGCTGGGGTGTCCTGGGGGCTGGCTGCACTGGGGTGCTGAGGCTGCAGAGCTGGTGACCACCCTACATAGGAGCCCATGGACTGGGGGTGCCCACCCACTGCGGGGCACACTGCCCCCATCCGTGACCCCCCAAACACTCAGCCAGGGGCTCCGGGGCTGAGTGACCTCGCAGTGAGAGCCAGGTTGCCCCTGATCAGGGTGTGCTGGCATCATCTCTGCCACCAGCTGTCCTCCTGATGGTGGGGGGCCAAACCCTGCCCTCCTTTTGGCTGGTGGTTGCTATGGGAAACCCGTGGGTTTCCCCTGGTGATGGGCTGAGCCCCTCTTCATCTCCTGGGAAATGGTTGCTGTAGCAACGCATCCCCCTGCTGGATGGATGCATGAGGAGGGGATGCATGGGGAGGGGACACCTGCTGACACCCCCATGCCACCCCCAGACCCTGGCTGGGCGTCGATCAACCGCGGGGTGCTCATCTGCGACGAGTGCTGCAGCGTGCACCGCAGCCTGGGCCGCCACATCTCCATCGTCAAGCACCTGCGCCACAGCCCCTGGCCCACCACCCTGCTCCAGGTGGGTGCTGGGGACACTGGAATGTGGGGAGATGCTCGCTGGGACCCCCAGTGCCCACTGGGCCCTGCCTGTCCCGTGCAGATGGTGCACACCTTGGCAAGCAATGGGGCCAACTCCATCTGGGAGCACTCGCTGCTGGATCCAGCGCAGGTGCAGAGCGGGCGCCGGAAGGCAAACCCCCAGGACAAAGTGCAGTAAGTGCTCCCTGTGCTGTGGGGAAGGGGCCAGCACTGGCTGGGAGCCCCCTCCTCACCCCAAAACCCGCTGCCCACTCCCAGCCCCACCAAGTCAGAGTTCATCCGTGCCAAGTACCAGATGCTGGCCTTCGTCCACAAGCTGCCCTGCAGGGATGATGACGGTGTCACTGCCAAGGACCTCAGCAAGGTGGGGTGGGGCTCAGAGACCCCCCTGTGGCAATGGGGACAGATCCCCCCATTACCAGCTCTCTCCTCTGCAGCAATTGCACTCGAGCGTGCGGACGGGCAACCTGGAGACCTGCCTGCGCCTGCTCTCGCTGGGTGCCCAGGCCAACTTCTTCCACCCGGTGAGCTCTGGTGGGGCTCAGGGACCCCAGAGGTGGTGTGGGGCCCAGGGGGGTCCTGGAGCCCCATGCCACGTGCAGGCTGCAGGGCTGAGGCTGCCCATGCCCACAGGAGAAGGGCACCACACCGTTGCACGTGGCCGCCAAGGCCGGGCAGATCCTGCAGGCAGAGCTGCTGGTGGTCTACGGTGCCGATCCTGGGGCGCCCGATGTGAACGGCCGGACCCCCATTGACTATGCCAGGTGAGGGCAGGGAAGGGGGTCACCCCTGCCTGCACCCCCACCTAGGGTGGGCATCACCCCTGCTGGCCCTCCCACAGGCAGGCAGCCCAGCACGAGCTGGCGGAGCGGCTGGTGGAGTGCCAGTACGAGCTGACTGACCGCCTGGCCTTCTACCTCTGTGGCAGAAAGCCGGGTGAGTGAGGGGGTCCCGGGGTGAGGGGGTTATCCTGGAGGGACTGTGTGGCTTTGCTCATCACCCCTCTCTTTGTGCAGACCACAAGAATGGGCACTACATCATCCCACAGATGGCTGACAGGTGAGTGTCTGGTGCCTGTGGCCCCGCTGGCCTGTCCCACGTCCCCCCCAGCATCCCCACTGGGCTGAGGGGGGGACCCCAGTCACTGGAGCATCCCTGGGGGGCAGGGGGTCGGCGTGCCCGCGCGTTTAACGTCCGCCTTTATCCTGTTCTTCCCTCCGCTGCCTTCTCCGGAGCGCAGGGTGCGCCCAAAGTGCATGGCACAGAGGTATTGTCTGCTCGGCTCTGGGGGCCCCCCATGCTGCTGCCATGGGGCCCCCCTGCAGCCCTGCCCGCTCGGCCCAGCCCGGCACCTGGGGGGCACTCAGGGAGGGGGGGTCCCACTCGCCCCCTGCCACCTCATCCCCCCGTGCCTGCCCACCAGCCCTGCTTGGTGAAGCCCCCAATGCCTGAGGGGGTACATCCCTGTCTTGTTGGGGTGCAGCTGGGGACTGTTTTGGTGGGAACAGGCCAGGAATAACCCCCACTTTTTCTTTCTTCC